CAAATAATGAGATAATCGATTGAAACCTGTTCGACAGTATGTCCTACGAGCTTCATCTTAAATGCATAAAAACGAAAAAGTAATAGACAGTCGTCTTGTACTAAGTCGATTCGATAGCCTAGCGAAACGAACATTTTTACCAATAGAACTATTCAAACAAATTAACCAGTCAAAATGAACTATCTTCAAAAAATATTCCATTAAGCCAGCTTTCTATTTCATCTTCAGTCAAGAGTGCTTAGTAACTAAAGTAAAAAGCCATGCATGAGGATGTGGGTATTGGCAGCCCCTCGTGGGTATTCACATACACGTACCCTTGTCTACCTGAATAGTATCGTCAAACTGAAATAAAATAATTTCTTTTCAAGAGAATTCACTTATTTTCGAACAAAAAATTGTTTATCACGACCTTGAGTCGACGCATTTGTGAGGAGAATTTTTATTTTTCTTCTCTCATTTTAAAGAACGGGTGTTGTTATTAAACGTCGTCATTTCCTTGATGCTTGTTTACCACACAAAAATTCATTTATGCAAATAAAAGAAAAAAAATACTGCTTTAAAAGCAGGAAATTTCTCTACTTAGATCAGATCTATTTCTTCATTTGATTCTTGAAAGAAAATACATTGACATCCAATTAGTTTAAAGCTCTTTTCCATTGCAATTTCGAGCACAAAAAGAAAATTGACCATTAACAAATAAAGGTTAACATTAGCTGATCACATACACCTACGAGTATCCAAAGAGAAGGTACCATACAGTTGTTCGAGTCATTTTTTTATTGATTTGAATTGTAGCTGATCAATAAAATCTATTTAGCGTCTGAGTCTATTGAAAATTTAACAAAGAAGAAACAACATAATAAAGGTTTTTTAAATCATGTATCGAACATATTATACCAGTCGTTATCAAACAAATCTTTATCAACCAACTCAATATCTATCAATCCAATACCCATCAAATCACTATCTATTAAGTCAATATCTATCAAATCAAAATTTATCAAATGTTTATGTATCAAATGAATTATCTTATGATATTCATGCTCCTCAAAAAGCAATTCATCGCATTGAAGCACAATCTGACGCAGAACGAAAACAATTTATTATTGATACATTCATGAAACTTTTAGGAGATGGTATTCGTGAAAATCCCAAAGCGTTTCGTGGTCGCTTTCGTAAAATGGCAGAGTCAGCATTTAAATTCTATTGTGGTTCAGCAGTTTTATTTTATCAAGATTTAAAAGTTGATCAAGATCAATTTATTGCAAGAAATACTGCAGCTGGACAAATTTTTATCCATGTAAATAATTAATATCGAACAATTATAATAAAATCTTGTTTTTCTTTTATTTCTTTTAGGGTGATTTACATGCAGAAAATTTTGGAACATATATGGATAATCATGGTATTCTGAATTTTGATGTTAACGATTTTGACGAAGGTTATGTCGGTTCATTTACATGGGATGTTAAACATTTATTAGCTTCACGTAATTTAGTTTGCCATAGGAAAGGTTTTTCAGATGAAGAAATCAAACGTATACTTATTGTTTGTGTTGAAGAATATTTAAAACAAGTTTATGAATTTTGTAAATATAGAAAAAAATGAATTTTCATTAACATTAAGAAATA